TAATTTTTCATAGAAAGTTCTGTATCACTTGGGAATTCATATACAAATATAAAATTTTGTAAAATATAGATGGCCAAAGGGATATTTTGGATGATTTCTTACAAAAGGGGTAATTTTTAAAGAGGGGTTGATTTTGAAAAAATTTTGGTAAAAATTTTGAACAAATTTTTACAAAGAGGTATTTTTGTTTTTGAAAAGGGGTAATTTAAAAAAAAAGCAATTTTGGACAGTTTTTGACAAAAAGTGGTACTTTTGAACAAAAGGGATAATTATGAACACATTTTTACAAAAAAAGGTACTTTTCTTTTTGAAAAGAAGGACTTTTCTTTTGGAAAAGAAGGGATTATTTTGGAAATTTTTTGACGTAAAAAGAGTAATTTTGTGTATTCAGATAATGTTGTTATCGTCGTGCTTAAAGAGCACGTCGCATATTAATTTAATTTAATTTAATTAAAAAAAAAAAAAAAAAGAAATACTTTTGGACATTTTTTTGACATAAAACCTATTTTAATTTCATTTTTCCGTCAATCGGAGTGCGTCCATCTGTCATAACACAAAATAGTTTATGCCGTCTCTATTTTATTCCATCTCGATGTCCGATTTGCATATAAATGAGCAATCTATATAACTAAATATCATTGGTCATTAGTTAACCTCCAAATTTGCCGGTGCATTTACGATAGAGTGGAGGGTGGATTTGGAATATTATTCTACCCATAGCAGATATTAGACTTTAAGAATGTTAAAATAACCCAATTGCATAAAACATTTAATATTATTTTATATTCTGCCATGTTGTTTCTTTTTGTTTCCCAAAATGAATTATTTTCATTTTCATTATTAATAAAGTTCTTGTATCACTGCTACAAGAAAATATTGGGTGTAAATTTGTACTATTTGTGATTAGTTTAATATTCCTTCGTTTTCCACAGTAAAATCTAATTTTTCACAGTATTCCATCTTCTAAAATTATAGGTATATTTTGTAAACAATTCTCATGTCCAAAGTTCGTCTAGTCTTGACTTTTGACTTTCTTTGAAGGTGTTGTAACGCGAAAGGACGTTACTTATAGCAAATTTTGCGCTCATTGCGAAAACATATCGTTTGTGTTCACCTGCACTGTGTTCTATTAAATGGGTCGACAGACAGATAATTCTTGATAGGAACGTATCTCGAATATTGTCTTTTGGCAAAGCGCCGTTGCCAAATTTACCATTTAGGAGAAAATTTAATGAGTCAATAAAGTTACGGGTTCATTAGCTAATGAGAGAATTTAACAATCTTTTTTGCATCCGGCTGTTAGGGTTTACTTTTCTGCATATTTATAAAATATACAGGATGTTCCGTTACACCGGGACAGCTAAAATATCGATGTTTTTTAATGATTAACCCTAATATTTTGTCACCATTCATTTCAGTTTAAAATGTTTTTTTTTTGTCACCTTATACATAATTTGATTTACCAGGTCTTCAACAATACCCGAAACCCACGTGATCTGATAACCATCAAAAACCCATCGAAAGGGCCTGATTTGACGTAAAAGGAACTAAACTGAACTGTCAGTCCTGTCAGAAATGTCACTGGCGTTCATTTGGGGACTGGCAGGGACTGGGAATATTTATATTATATTTGTTTACATTTTATAAACACCTTTATTAGCTTTATTCCATTTTTCATTTAATATTAATAGAGCAATTAGTTATTTTTAGAGATTATTGGTGGCTTAATTCTTTTTTGTTGGTAAGTACAAATTTATTTACTGTAACTAGAAAAAGTTAATGACTATATATCATTTATTTCAGGTAACTGGAACAAAATTATTTTATATTCGTAATTGTATTCCAAAATTTGAGGAACGTTTTCCAGGTGAATAAATGGAATGTGATTCTTTTTTGTCGTCATAAACAAATATTTGTTCAAAATTATAAAAAAGGAAAAGCTCTAAAAGGCCCAAAGTAATAACAAAAGCTGTTGAAGATGTACAAATTAACATGGTGCAAATTCCCAACAAATTAGTAAAAAAAAAACAGCACCTCAAACAGGTATGAACGGGGTTTCAAAGACTGACTGACAAGTGAAATTCAAAACATATTTTTTTTTAGGTTTGTCGCTACGAACTAGTCATAAAGTATTGAAAATATTTCTGATAATGTATCCCCTATAAAGTTTCGGTAATGCAACAATCATTTTACCCTAATTTTGTTAAACCTACCTATGGAATATTACAGATTGCTCAATTCAAAATCGTTTGTGTGACGTTTATGAACCCGAGCACCTATATTAAATGAAATACAAAATATAACTGAGGATAAACTGCATAATGTGTTCAAAAAAGAATTGATGCTTGCATTAAAGCAGGTGGTAAAGATTTTAAACAGATAGGTACTGCAATTAGTATCGATTGTGCACCACCGATTACTACTCAATATCCTTTTAAATAAAATAGTTGTTAATAGGTATGCCTTTATAATTTAGAGTGAGAAGTGAGAGCTGTAAGGTAAAACAAATACGTGCTTGTTACATTAATATTAATATTTTTTTGTATACATATGAGTAATAATGTATTTTGTAAATGGTTTAAGCAATGTAACAAATAAATGATAGAACACACTTAAATTATATTTGTTTATTACTTCCCATTGCCCAGGTACAATTCCAGTAAGTTTTAAATTTGTTTACTTAAACTGCAATAATTGCCAAATACTGCCATTGTCTTCTGCCTATCGTATTTAAAGTTTCAGCTGTAGCTAAATATCTTAGAGTCAATCTAAAGTAAATAGTATTTAATGTTATTCAATTTTTAATGCATATTTCAGTTTATTATTCTTTTCGTTAAATACAAACTAGATATAATAATATAATAGCTCAGTTTTTAAGGTTACGTTAATTATAACAATGTTAAAATTTAAATTATTGCATTTGACTAAATCTAATTAAAATATCGAATTCTAACATTAAAATACAATAATGTAAAGCACCTCTAATTAATATTATGATTTTGTGTTGTAATTCTAACAGTTACCTAACTGAATTTTCTTCTCGTAGTTGCAGACCATAAAAAAAGAAGAAGATCTATTTTGTAATAAAATACCTACGGCACTGGCTCACATCTAGGGATTTTTACTTTTATTTTCACCAATCGCTGTCATGACGATTTGGTCACGTGGGTTTTCGGTATTGTTGAAGACCCAGTAGTTGTAATCATTTCCTGGTACTCTCAAGCCTATTAACAATAATCAATTAAACAATAGACAGTTAAACATAATATCTCGTATAAAATTAAACGTTTTAGAAGAAACGAAAATGATTGTCATCTTAATTTTTAAGATATTTATCGTATTTTTTTCCTTTTTGCATCGAATATTAATACCTTTTATTTAATTTACAATACTTTTTACACCAAAAGTATGGAATTAAATATTTTATATATTAGGAGATTTTATGTATATTGTAAAAATATATATTTTGTGATATTGGTTGATATCGACCGATTGAAAATAATGATAATTTTCATATTTTTCAAATCAAAATAATTATGAATACAATAATAAAAATATAGGCCGAACAAATCGATAAAGAAGTCAAAAATGAATTAATTGAATTCAAAAATATATCACATTAAAAAATAGATATTTTTAGTAATTTTGAATTTATCGCGACCATTATACTTTTACCTTTTATTTAAAACAACATTTTTTTTTTAATTTCATTCCGCCATATTTTGTGATAAATTTGACGTGGATGTCGTAAATTTGCCAAATTTGTTTTATCTTCAGCGATTAATTTAATGACTTAATTCTCGCATTATCGATTTAAAAAAAAGGTAATCTGGCAACGTTGGTATATACAAATTGGCAGTTCTATAAAATGACCGCCATATTAAATTGTTTTTTTTATGTTTTTTTTTATTTTTAGTATAATTTATTGTAAAAAATGGCAAAACTTTAGATTAAATTCCAATTAGAAATTTTAAGTGATATTCGCTTTTTCCATAACAGAGATACTAAAATAATTAATGGGTTGTATATTTATTCCTAACAGCAATCAGAAACAGTCATGTTCATGGAGATTTCGCACCACAAATTTTTCAGACTTCACACTGAATTTCGACTAGTAATGCTGAATTTTTTTAATACGTTACGTATACAGGGTGTTGAATAATCATGGTATGAACCAATCATTTGTTTTTTAAACGAGATTATAAGTATACTCTTCACAGAGTGACCTGTCAAGTGCATCATAAGTTTACTTTCGAGAAACCAACATTTTTTTTAATATTGATCCAAATCTAAAAATTTTTGCACCAAAATCCATCTGTTCGTCCAATGTCACGCTTTTTTGCCAAAAATGAAAAACGATATTTACTTGAAAGTTTTATGTAAAATCAAGACTCTATAAGGAGCCAAAGCCTATTTATTTTGAAAAAGTCTGAAAAAATGGGGGGTCAAAAAAAAATCCTAACTTAAAAACGAAAAATGAAATTTTCAAGAAAAACCTAGCTATATAAGGGAACAAAAACAAAACCATCGAGGATGTGAAATGAATGAGTGATAAATGGGAAGGAATAGGGCATTCAAATGATGGTACAAAAACAGACTCGACCTCGTAATCAGGGTGTTAAACCCTTTCTAATGGTATATCACATGACCTATGTTGCTATTTAAAAAAATCAAGATGGCGGCCATGCTTAAAATTTTGTAATTATAAAAAAAATAATTTTTGGGCTAAAATATGCGCAAATATATTTAGTTAAAATTCCGAAATTTTGGGTTTTGTATGTTGAACCGTTTAAGCACTATTGGTTTGGTTCCATCTTTAACAGCTACCCTGTATATGTATCATTAAGGTATGTTTCGCGGCATAACCCAACATGAACGTTTATGATAGATTAGGTTATTTAGACCAATCAGACATGTCTGAATAACATAATCTATCATAAACGTTCATGTTGGTTTATGTCGCGAAAAATACATTATTGACAGCAGACCACAGGGTTGCCATATTTAAACTATCAGTCTCCACTTGTTAGCATTTTGACAGGTCGTTGGAATCCCTAATATATTTTACACGTTAAGACCCAACTCAACTTCTTTCTTAGATTAGAAAACGAGTTTTTATTCGAAATAATACAAGATGTCATTTTAAATTTCTTTCTTAATGTTTACAAATACGTAACAGGATGAGTTTAATAAAACGTATGTCTTAAATTTGAGTGTACTGAGTATCAATTCTCAGAGAATGTACTAGATCTAGTACAATTGTACCAGTCTGGCGACACTAAACTGAACTCTACCATCCGAGTCTCTTATATTTATTTACTAAAGTGCAGTGTTGCCAATGCATGTCATCGTGGTCGTTGGTCGAGCAAAACGTTATGAAGAAGCCACTAATTTTGTCTAATTCTCGCCGTTATCGTTCTAAGGAATCTACCAATTACGACGGTTTACTGGAGAAACGATGTTGCCTTTTTTGTCAAGTTTCTGGCTAATCATCGGCCGTACTTACCATTGAAACATGCGATGCGGTGTTGCCTTTTTTGTCAAGATTTTAGTTAATTATCGGCCGTACTTACCATTGACGCATACGGTGCGGCGTTGCCAGAGCAATTCTACAAATTTGCCCAGATTTGGGGAAAAATCGAAAAGTGACTAATATCTACTAGTGAAACCAATTATAAATTACTCTTTTTTTATTATTTTATCCTACTGTGCAGAATTTTGATTTGACCGATAATGACTGTTGCAGATTGCCGTATAGGAACAATATTTTTATCATTTTAAAATATTTATACCAAAACGAAGAATTACAAAATAAAAAAACTACATACAATAGTTAAAATGATTGACACACTCGACAACATAAATTTGTAAATTTATCCGCTAGAACTGTCTGCTCTCGATCTTCGAGTATTTTCGCAATCAAGTATGTAATTGGGTAACTATTTTTTTTTTATGTTGATTGAGCATATATTTTCATATTAGTTCCAGTTTACCTTACGGTGTGCCAGCAGGCTATGGCTTTTCTAGGACTTTGGGTCATGTCGATCCAATGGTCTTTTTCGGGGCCGCTTTCTTTCGGTCCTATCGTGCAGATGCCGATCAAGATGTTATTAACTATTATATCAGTGCCTTGATCAAATATCGATATCTGCAATATAAAAAATGAAAAATCAAGTTAAGAATGTTATAAATTCGTCAGAATATTTTTTTATGCGATAATTCGATACCAAATTGTCCGATTTATACGATTATTTTTTTTGTTAAAAAGAGGGTACCTCAGAGTAGATGTTGGGGATCCATAAGAAAATCATCAAACTCTTCATTTTTGGCATAAAAAATTATGTTTCTGATTTACAACTCGTAAAAATCGTTTTTTTTTTCTAACTTAAAACTAGGAAAAATAGATTAATCTCATTTTTACCTCGAAAAAAATTAATTACCCTGACTTAGAACTTGGAAAAATAGAATATTCCGACTTAGAATAGAAAAAATTGACTTTTCTAAATTAGAACTCGAAAAAATAGATTATTACAACTTCGAATTCGTAAAAAAAAATATATAAGTCGAAAAAAAAAAATTATTCAGACTTAAAACTTGGAAAAATTGATTATTCCAACTTAAAACTAGGAAAATTCGATTTTTATAAATTAGAACTAGGAAAAATAGGTTATTCCGAATTAAAACTCAAAAAAATAGATTATTCCTAATTCCTCGGAAAAAGAGATTGTTCCCCTTTAGAACTTGAAAAATAAATTACTCCGACTTAGAACTAAAAAAATCGATTTTTGTCACTTATATCTCGGAAAAATAGATTTTAGACATAAAACTCGAAAAAATAGATTTTTTTTTTACAATTCAAAAAAATCGATTTTTCTAACTTTAAACTCTTAATATTCGATTTTTCTGACTCATAACTCAAAAAAATAGATCATTACAACTTTAAATTCAAAAAAATTTATTTTTCCCACTTACAATTCGAAAAAATCGATTTTTCTAACTTTAAACTCGTAAAAAACGATTTTTCTGACTAAGAACTCGAAAAAATAGATTATAACAACTTTGAATTCGAAAAAATTTATTTTTGTAATTTAAAACTCCGAAAACTAGATTATTCTGACGTAGAACTTGGAAAATTCGACTTTTCTGACTTAAAACTCGTAAAAATCGACTTTTCTAAATTAGAACTCGGAAAAATAGATTAGTTTCATTTATAACTCAAAAAAAAAATATTATTCCGATTTAGGACTTATAAAAATAGATTATTTCGACTTAGAACCGGGAAAAACCGAATTTTCTAAATTAAAACTAGGAAAAATCGATTTTTTTGACTAAAAACTCCTAAAAATAGATTTTTTCGAATTTAAACTCAAAAAAATAGATTATGCCTAATAAGATTACGGAAAAATAGATTGTTCCCATTTAGAACTCGAAAAATAAATTATTCCAACTTAAGACTTACTCGGAAAAAATGAATTACTCCGACTAAGAACTCTGAAAAATCGATTATTCTGACTTAGAACTCGAATAAATAGATTATTACAACTTCGAATTCGTAAAAAAAAATTTTTTTAATTTAAAATTCTGAAAACTAAATTATTCTGATGAAAAACTCGAAAAATTTGACTTTTCTTACTTAAAACTCGTAAAAATCGATTTTCCGACTTAGAACTTGGAAAAATAGATTATTATGCCGACTTAAAACTAGGAAAAACCGATTTTTCTAAATTAGAATTAGGAAAAATCGATTTTTTTTTTGTCTAAGAACTACAAAAAATAGATTTTTTTAAATTTATACTCTTAAAAATAAATTATTCCTAATAAGATTTCGGAAAAATAGATTGTTCCCATTTAGAACTCGAAAAATAAATTATTCCCACTTAGAACTCGAAAAAATAGATTTTTCCGACTTAGAACTCGTAAAATTCGATTTTTTTCTGACTTAGAACTCGAAAAAATAGATTATTCCATCTTTGAACTCGAAAAAATCTATTTTTCCGTCTAGAACTCGGAAAATAGATTTTTCTAAATTATAACTCTGAGAAATCGATTATTCCGACTTAGAACTTAGTAAAAACAGATTATTCCTAATTAGATCTCGGAAAAATAGATTACTTCGACTTAGAACTAGAATTTTTTTTTTTATATTGGAACTATGAAAAATAAATTATTTCGACTTAGAACTCGGAAAAATAATTTTTTCCCAATTAAATCTTGGATAAATAGATTAGTCCCACTTACAATTCGGAAAAATAGACTTAGAACTTGGAAAAACAAATTACTCAGACTAAAAATTAGGAAATATCGATTATTCCGACTAAGAACTAGGAAAAATCGATTATTCCGACTTAGAACTCGGAAAAATAAGTTTTTCTGACTTATAACTCGGGAAACTAGATTATACCGACAAAATCGATTTTTATAAATTAGAATTCGCAAAAATATTTCGATGAATTGAAATTTTTTTTTGAAGTTTGTTAAAAAAGGGCGCAGAGTCATTATCACATCAAATTGTTTATTGTACAATTAATTTTATACAGTGTGGAAACTATTAATGAAATAAAATAGTCAGTTTTTATTTTAATTAAGACATTATATGACATAAAAAAATATGTTTCCCCTTTAATCCCCTCACGGGACACCCAACCCCTAATTTTTTTCTTGTAACTTATTACATAAAGTATATAGTTTTAATACTTGCTGCGATTAGAAAAAAATATCACTTTATATGTTAAAAGTACAAAAAAATTGTACAATTTGAGTGCATAAACTACCTTTCGTTTATCATTCTTACCTCAATAGCGGCATTAGCAATATTGTTGGCCGATAATGTAAACGTCAATGCTTCGTTCCATACAGGACTGGAGCTACCTTTCTTGACAGCCGTCTTTTTCTTTTTTGTGCGCTTTCCATTCACGATTAAGTATACTTTAACGAACGCCTGCAGCTCTAATAAAAAAAAAAGAAATAAAATTAAAGGACATGCTAAATCAAACGTTTTCCAATACGCTTTGCAGACGTGATTGTGAAAACTATAATATCGGCGTTGCCAGTTTATGTGGCCCGGCCAACGTTACAACGCGGGCGTATAAATTGGAAACGCCGATATTATTCGTTTCCTGCTCGCACATGGAATTATGCAAAGCGAATTGGAAAACGTTCAGTATTAATAATAAAAATTGTTGAGTAGTAATCAGAGAAATTAGAATTATAAATGTTCTTACCTGAGTTTCCTTTACATTGGGGCACCAGAAGATTCCGAGCTTTCAACAATACTACAGTCAATCTTTCAGCTGACGGTAAATAGCTCAGCGATACTAAAATTTCTTGTATATCTTCCCTTGGTTTCTTATTTCTCGTTATTTCGCCCCATATTTCTACGCTATTGGCCACGTCAAACTCGCTCATTACCATTGTCACCTCTCCGATCACGTCGTTTCTTGAAAATCTATGACAAAATAGAACAATACAAAATAATAACTTTTATATTCGTCATAGAAAGAATAATTTAATTATATCAAAATAAATTTTTGAGTGTACTTCGTAGAAAGAACAATTTATTTGATCGAGCTGATTGTCGTGTAAGATTTCTCAATGTATAACAATAAATTTGTCTCTGCAACAAAATTTAAAATCTTTTTTAACAGACTTCTAAAAAAGGAGGAATATTTTTTTATAAATAGTGATAAGTATTCTTTACCACGTTGTTCGATTTCTAGGATTTTTTTTTTTTAAGAAAATACCTCAGGGGTGATTTCCCATATAAATTGTGTCTGACTTAGAATTCGAAAAAAATTGTTATGCCGACTTAGAACTCTGCAGAATCAATTATTTTGATTTACAATTCGGAAAAATAGATTATTTCGACTTAGAACTCGGAAAAACTGATTTTTCTGACTTGAATTCGTAAAATTTGATTGTACCGGTTTTTGGGCGTTATTTATCGTTTTTTTTATAATGTTTTTGTTTTAGTTGTTAGTTGGGGATTTTTTTTCGCAAAATATGTCAGTTGTTTTCACTTAGTTACTAACCAACTGTCAGGTGGAATTTATTTACTAGCAAAGTAATGAATGTCAACTGAAATGTCACAAAAATGTAACCAAAAATCGTTTAAGAATGAGTTTTATTCTTCAATGAATTTGCATGCGAGAATATCACATTCTTATATCAAAATAGAGAAAATCGATTTTTCTTACTTAGAACTCGAAAAATAAAATATTCTCACTTAGTTGGAAAAATAGAATATTCTGATTTAGAACTTTATAACTTTTTCAAACACCTTGTATATATGTTAGCTGGTTGATAGCAAAGTAAGTACTACTTGAAATAATTGATTTTTTCGAATTCTATTTTTCCGAGTTTGTAAAGCAAAAAAAAAATTTTCCGAGTTCTCAAGGAAATAATAAATTTTTCCGAGTTATATATAACTCGGCATAATCTATTTTTCGAGTTTTGTAGGAAAGACAAACCGATTTTCTGAGTTCTCAAGTCGGAATAATCTATTTTTCCAAATTTTAAATTGGAATAATATATTTTTCCAAGTTTCTAAGTCAAAAAAATAAATTTTCCCATTTTTAAATCGGAATAATCAATATTTTTTCGAGTTATAAGTCGAAATAATCTAATTTTCCGAATTTGTATTATAGAATTTTTTTTGGGTTCTCAAGTCGGAAAAATTTATTTTCGGGGTTCTAAGTCAAAACAATCTATTTTTCCGAGTTTGTAAGGCAGAAAAATCTATTTTTCAAGTTCTCAAGTCGGAATAATCTATTTTTCCAAATTCTAAGTCGGAATAATATATTTTTCCGAGTTTGTAAGGCAGAAAAATCGATTTTTCTGGGTCCTAAGTCAGAATACTCTATTTTTCCGAATTTGTAAAATCATTTTTTACAGACCTCAAAAATGAGGAATATATTTTTTTTTTAATATATGTTCAGCGTCCGATTCCCAAGATTCTTTTTTTTTTGAAAAAAGGTACCTATGGGATGATCTCATATAAATTTTATCAAGATCTTATGATAGGATCATCATTTTTTGTGTCGATTTTTTAAAAATACTTTTATGGAAGTAAAAAAAACGCGAAACACGCCTATCCGAGAAAAAGTCAGCCAGCCTGAAATGCGGTACACGCATATCGATATTAAAAGTTTATTGGGATAAACCTAATAATTTATTTTAATACTTTTCAGTAGTAGAGAATACAGAAACTGATTTGTCTAGCCGTCGGTTCAAATAAAATTAGTAATTATTATTGTGTTTGTACAGAAAGGTTAAAATTCGTGTTTTTAAAACAAAGTAAATTAATTTAACGTATCCTATTTATTACATTATCAAAATTCATACTCAAATGCCTCATTTTAATGCTTAACGTGTCTATTCCATAGAATACTTTTGACCATCGATCTATTATTATATTAATCCGAGGAAAAAAGTTTAAGTCCTTAAGATAAGATTGTAATTTTAATTTTTCGAAGAAAATTTTAAACTCTAGAACGAAGCCATTGGCACCCTTTTGCCACATCTAAAAAATCTGATTCCGGGAATTTTTCAATTATCGCTGTTTCAAATTAGGATTTTCAAGTTTATACGGAAGTTTATGTTATAACTCGGAACAATGGATTATTCCGATTCTTAGAACTCGGAAAAATGAATTATACCAAATTAGAGTTCTGAAAATCGATTTTTCTGACTAAGAACTCAAAAAATAGATTATTCCGACTTAGAACTAGAAAAAACCAATTTCTCTGACTTGGAACTCGGAAAACCCAATTTTGAACTCGGAAAAATGAATTATGCTCACTTAGAACTCGGAAAAATAGAATATTCCCCACTTAGTACTCGAAAAAAAATAGATATTCTGACTAAAAAACTCGGAGAACCGATTTTTCTGACTGAAAACCCGGAAAAATGGATTTTTACAGATTTAGAACTCGGAAAAATAGCTTATTCCGACTTAGAACTTGGAAAAACCAATTTTTCTGACTTAGAACTCGGAAAAATTGATTATTCCCACTTAGATGTCGGAAAAATATATTATTTCTGACTTAGAAAACACATGTACAGTGTTAAATTCAACGTTTATTTGTATTTAATTAAAAAAAGTTTCTAACTTCTAAAACATCCTGTATATGTGTTTCCTGGTTGATGACAAATTAGGGTACTACTCTGCACAATTTATTTTTAGTTCTAAGTCAGAAAAATCGGTTTTTCGAGTTTTTTTCTGGTTTCTAAGTCGGAATGATCAATTTTTACGAGTTATTAGTCGGAATAATCTAATTTTCCAAGTTTGTAAGACAAAATAAAATGAATTTTTAGTGATCTCAAGTCGGAATAATCGATATTTTCGGGTCCTGAGACAAAAAAATCAATTTTTCCGAGTTCTAAGTCTGAATAATCAAATTTTCCGAGTTATTAGTCGGAATAATCTAATTTTTTGAGTTTTTAAAACAGGAATATCAATTTTCCGAGTTCTAAGTCGAAAATAATTGATTTTTTCCGAGGTATTAGTCGGAATAATATAATTTTTCGAATTTGTAAGGTAGAAAAAATCTATTCTCCGAGTTTTCAAGTAGAAATAATTAATTTTCCTAGTTTTTAGTAAAAATAATCTATTTTTTCGAGTTTGTAAAATAGAAAAATCGATTTTCCGAGTTTTCAATTCAAAAATAATAATTTTTTTCGAGTTGTAAAGTCGGAAAAATAAAAATATATTTTGTGGCGTAGTTTTTAATTATTATTAAAAAACATATATCTTTCATTGGATATTCTTTGAGTACTGTACATCATTACAATATATTGCTTCTATTGGAAGGCCTGGCTATATAAAAATGACAGTGAACTTACAATTAGTAATAATTCTGATCCATCTCCAAACTGCATTTAATAATCAAAACTAAAAACATCCACATTTATGTATGCAAAATAACCCACATTCTTGATAACTAATCAGCTTTGACAAAAAACTAAAAACTGTGATGATACATATTTTATAAATATCAGAAAGGTATGAAATTAGCTATTATCTACACGCACAAAATTAACACATTAGGTGTTCAGTCTCATCAGTACAAAAATTTACATCCAAGGTCCCTTAAAGTTGATAACATACGTACCTATCGTAATCAAACACTTGTAGCACAAGAGTCCTTGGACTGCAATTCATCGTGCGACACAGGAAATTTTAAAATGCTGATCGAACAACGGATTCGGATCGTTCCTGCAAATATTCGTTTGACGTTTCCTAGAATCCACTTCCGGTAACAGAGTCAACCTAACGTAAGGATCGTTGAAGCCACCTTGGTCGCTACTAGCTAAGTCGTGAGCTATAATTAGAAACATTAAAGTTGATCTCACCCTGTATACTATGTATGAGGGATGAATCGTTATTTATTTATATGAAGGGTTGATCAATCTTGAATATTACATAGACTGAAAATTATTATATGGTTTCTTATGTTTTATGTGATTGACACTACATTCGAGTGTGTATTCTACATATATTCGGCTTAAATATTTCTTGGATATTGCCGATTAACTGAACTTCGATAGCTTCATGGGGTTTTCAACGCTTCCTTTCTGTTTTCTATTTTTTATTCTCGCTTCATATGAATAATCTTCTTTCAGTTGCTCCTTATAGATTTGCACTATACCCAAGAAAAATTTAAGTCGAATCCGTATGTTTAACTTGAAGTTTTGTTAAAAATTTTAAAATGAAGTTAAAAGGTCCGTATTTAAACAAAAATTCACTGCTTACCTTCGATAAGATGTACAACTAAATCGCTCTTATCAAAATCGTAAGAAAGTCTAAAATGCAGTCTTCCTAGGCTGGGCGATTCCTTGGGGGCGGCTATGAAGAGCGGCCCGTCCTTTTTCAAGTACAAATCCGGCTGAATCGCGCCCAATGGACTCGCCGGTGGCGCCGCCACCGACGTATCAGGAACTATAACAGTTCGGTGTATAAAAAGCGGAGATAAACATCTTCCTAGGCCGGTTCTGGGCGAGGCTGGTACCGGAGAGTTGCACGAACTTGTGGAACCTCCTAGAAAAATGACATTTGACGATTTAAGAAATAATGAAAAAAAAAAAAAATGCGGATTAAAAATAAAAAGTGCATTTCAGTAAGAGAAGCTAAACTGGATTTTGAAAAATGGATTATGTCGACTTAGAACTCGGAAAAAATTGATTATTCCGACTTGAGAACTTGGAAAATAGATTTTTTCTGCCTTACAAACTCGGAAAAATAGATTATTCTGACTTAGAACTCAGAAAATTAATTATTCCGACGCAAGAACTCAGAAAAAACGATTTTTTGAATCTTAAAAACTCGGCAAATTAAATTATTCCTGCTTATAATTCGAAAAAGTTGATTATTCTGAATTAAAAATCGGAAAAAAACGGATTTTTCTGGCTTAGTATTAGGAAAAATAAATGATTCCAATTTAGAACTCGAAAAATGGATTATTTCGACTTGAAAACTCGGAAAATCGATTTTTCTGCCTTACAAAACTTGAAAAAATAGATTATGCCGACATATAACTCGAAAAAATTGATTATTCCGACTTAAGAGCTTGGAAAATAGATATTTCTGCCTTACAAACTTGGAAAATTAAATTATTTCGACTTATAACTTGAAAAAATTGATTATTCCGATTTAAAACTTAAAAATGAACTATTTCGACTTGAGACTCGGAAATCGATTTTATTCCTTAGAAAACTCGAAAAAATAGATTATGCCGAGTTATAACTCGAAAAAATTGATTATTCCGATTTGAGAACCCAGAAAATTAATTTTACTATCTTACAAACTCAGAAAATTAAATTAATCCGACTTATAACTCGAAAAAATTGATTATCTGAATTAGAAATCGGAAAAAATCGATTTTTCTGACGTAGTACTCAAGAAAAATAAATTATTTCAATTTAGAACTCGAAAAAATGGATTATTCCGACTTGAGAACTCAGAAAATCAGATTATTCCGACTTGAGAACTCGAAAAATAGATTTCTCTCTGCCTTACGAAACTCGAAAAAATAGATTATTCCGACTTAGGACTACAAAAAATCAATTTTTTTACCTTACAAACTCGGAAAATTAGATTTATCCGACTAATAACCTCAGAAAAAATAAATATTACCAGTAGTACTTATTTTCCATCAAGCAGAAAAACATATACAGGGTATTAAATTCAACATTTATCAATATTTAAATTAAAAAGTATTCGAACTTCTTCAAACATGTTTTGAATGTGTTTCCTGATTGATAGCAAAGTATTACTCTATTTTTCCGAACTTGTAAGGCAGAAAAATTGATTTTCCGAGGTTCTCAAGTCGGAATAATCAATTTTTCCGTGTTATTAGTCAAAATAATTAATTTTTTCTGCGTTATAAATAGGTATAATCAATTTTTCCGAACTTGTAAGGCAGAAAATTGATTTTCCGAGTTCTCAAGTCGGAATAATTGGTTCTTTGGTGTTACCAGTCGGAATAATCTAATTTTCCGAATCTGTAAGGCATAAAAATCGTTTTTTCGGAATTATCAAGTCGCAAAAATCCATTTTGCAAGTTCTAAATCAGAATGATCAATTTTTCGAGTTATAAGTCCGAATAATATGTTCCAAAGTTTTAAGGCATAAAAAACGTTTTTCCGAGTTCTAAGTCAAAATAATTTATTTTTCTGCGTTCTAAAAAAGCATAATCTATTTTTCCGAGCTTGTAAGGCAGAAAAATTGATTTTCCAAGTTCTCAAGTCGGAATAATCAATTTTTCTGTGTTATTAGTCGGAATAATCTAATTTCTGAATTTGTCAGGCATAAAAATCGTTTTTCCGAATTATCAAGTCGGAATAATTCATTTTACAAGTTCTAAATCGGAATGATCAATTTTTTGAGTTATAAGTCGGAACAATCTAATGTTCCGAATTTGTAAGGCATAAAAATCGTTTTTCCGAGTTCTCAAGTCGGAATAATCTGTTTTTCCAAGTTCTAAGTCTAAAAAATACATTTTTTGGAGTTATTAGTCAGAATAATCCAATTTTCCAAGTTTGTAAGTGTTATATTGTCCTTAATGTGAAGTTTATATAACACTTGAAACCTTCAATTTGAAAGAATCAAACTCACCACTTTAAGTATTATTATTCTTTATTCATTAACTGATAATACAAGAATGATGTCTCTAATATTGTACATACCCATCGATGTACTACCTGGGCGATAACAAATCAACACAAGAAATAAATAAATATCCCAGTGGCGTATCAGTAATATTTACAATATACAACAGTAAGGCAGAAAAATCGATTTTCGGAGTTCTAAGTCGGAAAAATCAACTTTTCCGAGTTATTAGTCGAACAAATCTCGTTTTCCAACTTTGTAAGCCAGAAAGAAAATTGTTTTTCCGAGTTCTCAAGTCCGAATAATCTACTTTTCGAGTTCTAAATTGGAATAATATATTTTTCCGAGTTCTGAGTCCACAATAATCAATTTTTCCAGATTATTAGTCAGAATAATCTAATTTTTCGAGTTTGTAACGCAGAAAAATTGATTTTTGTAGTTTTAAGTCGGAATAATCAATTTTTCCGAGTTATAAGATAATGAAAGAAAGAAGTGAATAATGAAAGAAAAGAAAGAAAGAAAGAAAGAAGAAAGAAAGAAAGAAAGAAGAGAAAGAAAGAAAGAAAGAAAGAAAGAAAGAAAGAAAGAAAGAAAGAAAGAAAGAAAGAAAGGAGAAGAAAGGAAAGAAAGAAAGGAAAAGAAAGAAAGAAAGAAAGAAAGAAAAGAAAGAAAGAAAGAAGAAGAGAAAGAAAGAAAGAAAGAAAGAAAGAAAGATAGAAAGAAAGAAAGAAAGAAAGAAAGAAAGAAAGAAAGAAAAAGAAAGAAAGGAAAAAGAAAGAAAGAAAGAAAGAAAAGAAAGAAAGAAAGAAAGAAAGAAAGAAAGAAAGAAAGAAAGAAAGAAAAGAAAGAAAGAAAGAAAGAAAGAAAGAAAGAAAGAAATGAAAATAAAAAATAAAAAATGTGCATACCAGTGAGAGAAGCCAAACTGGACTGCGACGGTGATGGGGTTCTGATTTCGGACAAGGCGTGAGCTGTGCCTGGCGAGGAGCAACGTATGTCCAACGAAGCCGCTCGCAATGGTGACGGTGATCTACTCGAGTTCCTCAAGGATAACTAGAAGTGTGTGTAGCTTCGTGGTGATAGTGCAACGTGGTTTTGCCGTCTGGTGCGAAAGTGCGTATTTGCGGTGAAGATCCACGATGTCCCTAAGACGATTGACTATATAATATCTCTTGTATAGTTGAAAAAAATTAAAATTGAAACCCCTTTCAAATGAGGTAAAGAGTTTCTGACACAAAATCGACCATTTTTCCATTATTATCTCCATAAGAAATTTTAAGATTTAAAATGTTGACTTTACTTTGTCGCAAATGTCTTCTCTTCATTTAAATTATTAGCAATAGTTGTTCTAACTGTACTTAAATGTCTACGCTAGCACTCTACTGTCCAGAGTGAACAACATATTTTCCATTTAGTATTCAAGATCCTAATGTATGGCATTTATATAAGATTTTACGGTTAATGCCATTTGTTTAATTAGAATTGGACCAATAATAACGAAGATCGTTCTAACTTTTCATATGGAAATTATAATATGGGCAATATTTAAATATTTGAGCCCCTTCTCCCTTTAATCGATCTACATTACCATTAAAAACTATGTATGTTGTTGACAGCGTCGTTATATTATTATTGAAGAGTTTTATGTTTGATTATTACTCAATTATTTTGGTCCTCAAGAATCGGACTAGCCTTATGAATTAGTACAATATGTTAGATGCATTTCCAACAAATAATTTGTTGCGTGTGTTTCTTCTTAAGCAAAATCTTATCTATATTGTTTGTTACAATTTCGAAACCTATTTTGAACTTTTTAAATATTTTGGACATTTATAATGTTTCCGTTTAGAATTATAACTATACGAACCTGTTTCGAAGCTGTACTATCCAAGCTGCTTTGGCTGGACACGCTGGGCGTTCTGCACAGCAAAGGTTGTCCGCTGGGATAAGATTTGGATTGGTGCTGCAAAGGCGGTGGTGGGCCGTGCGACGAACACACTTCTAACGGTGTTTTCGATATGTCCGTCGTCGTGTCTTGCCCGGAAGAATTTTGTGGCGGTTGAACGTTGAGATGCTCCTTCTCCACGTTGAATTCCTTCAAACAAGACAAAAGTGACAAATGTGATAAGATGTATTGGACATATTAGATACAACCAAAGGATGCTCAATGAAGTCTTGGTTATAGTACATTTATTGATTAAGTTTTATGATGTTTTAAGTATTTTTTGGTTGTAACAAATAAAGGAAATTTTATTTTTGATTAAATTTTATACATTAATAAATGTAACCACATATATCCTAAGTAATAGTTTTAAGACATTTTAAATTTATTTAGGTTTTAAAAGTGCTTTAATACGTTCAATAAAATGATGCTTTTAAAGTTACCTTAAGATAAACTAAAGGTTCTTAAAGACCATTTATTCTTATGTAAAGTATTTAATGCTTCCTTTAAATTAAACATAAAAAAATCGATTTGCTTTTGATGTCTATTTATTTATTACAGTACACTACAGATATAATCCAATTGGTACATGGTATAAGTAAAAAACAGTACAGACAAGGATAGAAAAAAAAAATATAAAGACAAATTGCATCAAAAGAATAAAAATAGATTTAAAAACATATATACAATGGAATACAAATACATATTTTTCCAATACGAAAAACAATCACATTTAGATAGAGATAGATCTATAGTCTAATGTTATTTTTAATAGTTTGCGGTGATTTATGAAAAATATTGTAATTTGCAAATTTATTATTATAGTTACCTAATAACCTGTCTATAAATCAATTTTTGCCGAAATTAGTCCTATGAGTCCTCACATGAAATAAGGTTAAGTGACATGTTCGTCTCAATGAATTGGAGTGGATTAGAAAGCCAATGTGTATATTGTATCAATAGAAACAATATGCGACTCTATGGACGCAGCCATTTTTATTTCTCATTTCACTCGGGTGTATCTATAATAACATTTTTGTTTCACATTGTTATTGTTCAATCCACAAGCTGGTGGATCAGACAATAATAAAGTGAAATAGAAAATGGTTGTTATAAATACTCTCGAGTGAGATGAAAAACAACCTGTCTTCGCCCATAGAGTCACATCTCAAGTCTATTGACAAGAATTCTACCCCACTCCAGTTCATTGGTTCGTCTTAAAGGAACAGAAAAACGGACTAATTTTAGCAAATCTTCACAATCCACCTGGTCATTAAGCAACTTGTGTAGAAAGAATAGTTCTGCCTCCTGTCGTCTGCGTTCCAAACTTTGAACCTCACACAGTAATAATCTTGTTTCGTAAGCGGAGTTTAAAGAAAAGATATTTTAAAAATTTGTTTTGTACATTTTCAAGTCTATTACTGTGTGTGGTATAAGATAGTGATCATATTATGGAACAGTATTCAAAATTACTGCGCACCAAACTGTTAAATAGGCACAAAATGGTTCGAGTAACCTGAATGTGTTTGATGTTCCTCTTGATGAAGCCTAGTAGCCTAAAAGTTTTCAGAACGGCACTTTCCAAGTGCAAATTGAAAGATAACTCCTTGTCCAATAGGACCCCAAGGTCGTTAAATGATGAAACCACTTCCAAAGAGTCCTTATTTATATAATAAAGAGTATTACTGGGGTTGGTACATCTGTAGACTCTCATCAATTTGCATTTTGATACATTTAGTTACAGAAGGTTACAAAACTATTCAGATATATGACCTCTGAAAAATGGTATGCAGAGGATTTACTAAAGAAGGACAATTTTTAAATAATATATGTGGAATTTCATCAGGTCCGGCTCATTTTGAAGAATCAAAATTCACAATCTTACTTCTAATCTCTTCCTCGGTGAAAGTGTGGGAGGACAAATTAGAAAAAAAGTTAAGAGGTGTTCTATGCTCATTGCCGACAGAATCATAGTTCTGATAAAGACTGAAAATGAGTTTCAAATGCATCCGCGTTAGACGAAGGATTGTCGAATATATTGTTAGATAATAACTTATTTATGTAATTGTGCACCATGGCCCAAGGCCGGGTGATTCGTTATTTGACATGTGAATAGTGACGGTTGCTAGCCAACTGTTTCTTTCGTGAAGATAGATGCATAATATATCCAAACGTGCCATGGTTGGCCTTGAGTGATCTCGCGCTGATGCAGCTTGGCGAACGCGATTATTGTCACGTAGACATTTGTTATTGTCACGTATATATTTGTTTACAGACGCTAATAATGAACATTTGGATTCGCGAGAACAGGACCGTCTTTGATATGTTTCAAACGGTTTTCCAAATTTCATAATACTCAGCATATGTTCCTCTCTTCTGAGGTTTTTAATAAAAGACAAAGTGTTTCATATTCTCCGGCAACAGATGCTCCATATTACTAAGAAAAGTGAGGAAGCAAAGGTCAATGCGACACATAACATCTTTGCGAATGTTAGCGTAAGTAGCGTAGTCTGTAGCAATATGTGTTCTTTTGTATTTTCTTTAAATTTTATTTTTTTTTAGCTATTAACTTACGAAGGGTCTCATCATACCATTTAGGAAGCGAATTTTTTATTTTTTAATGTTTTCTTATCCCTGAAAAGACAGTTATGAATAAGTTCAAAAATATCGTCTAATTCAATAGAATCATTTAAAAATGACCATAGAATGTATTTAATTTATTAAAGTTGGCCTTGCGAAATTGATAAACTTTTACGTCAGTTCCACTTTTTAGAGGACTTGTGTGGATTAATCCAAGAGATATTCCCAAAGCTGGATGATAACGGAAATCAAGAGGCACCAAAGGATTAAAACATTCAGAACAGGTTACTTCAAGGATACCGTCAGTAAATATTAAATCAAGAATTTTACCTTGAGAATTAGGAACGAGATTGATTTGCTGGAGTTCAAGAAAAAACATGGATTCTACTAAAATTTGAGCAATACGATTCTTTAAGTTAATGTGAACAGGCTTAAAACTTCTTCTAAATACCAGTGAATCTTAGGAACATTAAAATCTCCAAATATAATAAATTTAGTGGATTCGAACTTATTTTTTAGGGCTTCATAGTTGTCACAGAAGGACTGTTGTAGTTGTACCCAAATATTTTCATAGTTTGGAACTACAGGGGTAGCAACTGTCATGGCCTGAATGTTATTCCGAATTGCTAACAGTACTCCACCTCTACGTTCACAATTTAACTCGTGGTATAGACGATCACGACGATAGATGAAAAAATAAGAATTAGAAAACAACTCATAATTACCAATATTGTTATTAAGCCACGTTTCTGTTAGAGCAATCACTTCATAATCACAGGCACTGGAGCTGATCGGATTTTTTTCTTAGACCTCTTACATTCTGATAATAAATATTCATAGAAATTTTATTTTTGCATGTAACTAATGAGTCGATGGACAGTGAACATTTGGGGTAACAAGCATATTATGATTAATATTAATGGAACTTGAGGAATTAATTACATCCTGACACAGGGATTTAATTAAAAACATTTTTCCTACTACCACTTATCACACTATATAGTCCTATGGAAAGTGCCCTATATCACACGCGTATGAATAAGAATTTACTTTCCACCCGTGTACGAATATGCTACTTTCCGCAGCAGCTGTCACAAAATGTCAAACACATCATTTCTATTTTGATGTATGTAATGTCCATATTAATACTAAAATCGATATGATTGTTAAATTATTGAAATTGTTGTAAATTAGATCCTAGATATTTATCTTTAACAATTATTATTAAAATAACTTTAAAATAACTAAGATATGTTTGCTTTTTATTCTGGTTAAACACATAACCGATTAGATCATTCAATTAACGCAAGGTCTATTAGCTCAGATGGTTATAGCGTCAAACATATCAACTTTGCCATTTGAGACCTGGCGAGCGACCGCGTTCAAATCCTGGCGGGTCCAGAATTTTTTAATTTTTTTTGTTTTTTAATTTTTTTTTGTTTAGAAAATATGAACTTTGAATAAATACGATTATTGTTGATTATTTTTTTAAATACATTTTAACTATTATAATAATAACCTGGTTTTACACTTTTTGATGAAATTATTTTGTGGTCGTAGGAAAAATATTGTACATCACTTGTGTGAAAAATGATTTTCCACACTCGTGTGATAGTCGCACTCGACTTGTGCCTCGTGCGACAATATATCCCACTCGTGTGAAAAATGTCACTTTCCACACTCGTAATGTAATATACTATTTTCGGCTTAAGGGAGAACACTGTGAGGGGTGAAATATTCTATATGAACAAATTTAACATCAGTCGGCTTTTCCTTTGTAAGAGCTAGACAGAAAGAGGCATTTTGCGTATCTATTACATCATTAAGTATTGGTCTATGTCTATGTAATGGAGAGCCAAAAACTATTAAATTTGTAGAAGAACAAAGATATAACAGTAAAATAATGTAATTTTTTTATAGATTTTCCAGAGAGCGCAATTTCTGGATCTCAACACATAATGATATAATAATAAGTTTCTACTAAGTTTTTACCACATTTTATAATGGTAAACATTGGTTGGATAAGAGATTGACGGTTTATATCGAAACGACAGTATACTTTTTAAATAGTAATATAAATCCTTTCACATTGGAGTCTCGTATTACGAGGATTTGAGATTTACGATAGTTTGCAACATGCTTATTATCAAAGTCTCCGCTTTTGAAGTGCTCGGTGTATGATTTATCGCTGATTTTAGTTCATTACGAAGACGACATATCTTTTAATTAAGGATACAACTTGCTCTCCAAGTCGTTTTGAGACTAAGAGATCATTCTCAAGTTTTTCGGCAGATATGCATTTACTCTAGCTATCTTAGTTTATTATGATTCTATAATATCGGCGTTTAGTTTAGTAATAAGAGCTTCTTTATAGTTAAGTCTATCAATGTACGACTGCTCCGCTTGCTCTACCTCTTCTAAGAACTCACTTGACCTTTTTCTTTCTTTTGTTAAGTTAGTTTCTCTCGCTGAAATGTTCTTTCGCAGGTTTCGTATAGTTATTTCAAGATTGCTTATCTGTTCTTCATAAAGCTGTCCAGCGTTGTCTATTGCATTATCTTTGCATCAATTTG